AGAGAATCAGGTATGTCTTAGGATTACAGGGCTTGACTTAAATGTATTATAAATGTAATTCCTCTTCTTCAGTGTCTTGGATTCTTTTAAGTTTTGCTTAAGGAAAAAAAAAAAACATTTTGTGGGTAGTATGATTATTCGTAGAAGTTTTTTTAATGTCAGGTTTTAAAAGAATTATAAAGCCAATAAAAGGTGGACTCCAAAAAGATAAGTTGTTGTTCTTTATCTTCATCTTCCTCTCTATCTTTGTCTTATAAGCACATGTTTACTTAACCCTCAGGTATCCTTGCACTGGGAGCAATAGCAGAAGGTTGTATGAATGGCATGACCCAACATCTACCAGAACTGATCCCATACCTGATCAGCTGCTTGAAAGACAAGAAGGCACTGGTCCGCTCCATCACCTGTTGGACGTTATCCCGCTACTGTCACTGGGCAGTTGTTCTCCCTGACCACTCCTACCTCAAACCTCTCATGTATGAGGTGAGTTTGTGTTAACCCATTGGCTACGGCTGCCATGGCTATTGTGGACTTGGTAGCAGATGGTGCTGTGTCATAACTATCCTGCCCCATCAGTTCATCTGACAGAGCTTGTTTTTCTCCAATAGTTTCTGCATCCATTTGTATGATGTAACTTTTTTGACAATGACACCTAAAGTGAAGGAAGGCCTTCACATTTTTAATCATATCAAAATATAAGGTTTTAGGTGCCTGATGATGTCTGCAAACTACTAAACAAGCTGAATACAAACTTATTGCGTTATTACATGGTTGTTTTTATAACTTAATATTACCAAACTTAATTGAGGCTGAACATTTGAATCAAATTATTTTATATAGTTTAAACTTTTCCTTGAATTGGGTGAAATCACTTGGTTTGTTTGGTTTTTGTTTTCAGGTATTTGTTTGTTTATTTGATTTTTGCTTATTTACACATTTCTTTACAGCTGCTCAAATGTGTCTTGGACAGTAATAAACGTGTACAGGAGGCAGCATGTTCAGCTTTTGCTACACTAGAGGAAGAGGCATGCACAGAGTTGGTTCCATACTTGGCAGACATTCTGAAGACTTTAGTATTTGCATTTAGAAAATATCAGGTAGGTGGAAGGTGACTTTAAGTCCTACATTTTTTGGGCTGATTTTTTGTCCATTACTGTGCTAAACGTCTGATTATTATTACTAGTAGTAGCGGTAAAATTGATATGAATTCCTTCTGCAGGCAAAGAATCTCCTGATACTATATGATGCTATTGGAACCTTGGCGGACTCTGTTGGAAACTATCTCAATAAGGAAGAGTACATTCAGATGCTCATGCCACCATTGATTGAGAAGTGGAACGTACTCAAGGATGAGGACAAGGATTTGTTCCCCCTTCTCGAAGTAAGTTGCTTCACCCCGTCCTAAGATATCCAACCTTATTTTTTCACTATAGTCTGTGATGAGCTGTTAGATTTTTACTGTATGATTTCACTAATATCCTTGTTCTGTGAGGCTCCTGGGTGATCAAGCATGTGCGCGCTCTCATTTGCGCACATTCTCACACACACACACACACACACACACACACACACACACACACACACACACACACACACACTCTCTCTCTCTCTCTCTCTCTCTCTCTCTCTCTCTCTCTCTCTCTCTCTCTCTCACACACACACACACACACACACACACACACACACACACACACACACACACACACACACACACACACACACACACACCTACCTATCCACCCATCCACCCACCCATCCATCCATCCAACCATCCATCCATCCAAACGGAGGATAAATAAAGTCAATTTTGTGTATGTATGTATTTTTTGTAGCAGGGGAGATATCTTAAAGCATGATTCTCCTCCATAGTGCCTGTCAAGTGTGGCAACTGCTCTCCAGTCTGGGTTCTTGCCCTATTGTGGTCCTGTGTATCAACGCTGTGTCTCACTTGTGGAGCAGACGCTTAACCAGACCATGGTAAGGAACCTATTCATTGTTCATGTTCTGTGTAAAGGTCATATTGTGATTTTAGTATATCGGCATATCTTATTGATAATGCACTCTTTAAATATTTATTCTTTGTATATCAGCGGTCTTCATGTGTTCCACATATTCGCCCACAGGCACATGCGCAGAATCCCGAGCAATTTGAAGCAGCAGACAAGGACTTCATGATTGTCTCCCTAGATCTGCTCTCAGGGCTTGCTGAGGGTCTCAATGGGCATGTTGGTCAGCTGGTTCAACAATCCAACATTATGCAGCTCCTTTACCAGGCCATGCAGGTACTCTTTCCCTCTGTGTTTTTTTGATGTAGATGGTTGAATAAAGGAGCAAATTGTTTCTTTTAATAGTGCCTTGTGAATGGCTAAAGCTCTCAGAGTAGTAGTACACTTACATTTTGTAGGTTTTTGGCGAGTGATTTGAGAGTAAAACTGTAGTGAATTTTGCTTAGTTTCTGAACTAATAAGAGCCGAGTTAAAAATCTTAAAAGGTTTAAAAGAGAGAGAAATTAATCTTTTTGTGGTTTTCTGTTTCTTTTTCTTTTTTTTTTCCTTTTTTTCCCCTTTTTTTTCCTTTTTTTTTATTATTATTATTTTTTTTTTTAGTATTGAAAAGAAAAAATATAACCTAACAGACTGAAAATTCCAACAGGACCCAATGCCAGAAGTTAGACAAAGCTCCTTTGCACTTCTGGGTGACCTGACCAAAGCATGTTTCCAGCATGTGGCTCCTTGTATATGTAAGTAGATAGCCCGTTTATTTTGTTAATTTGTTTTTCTTGACTTTTTTCTGTTTTCAGCATAATTTTTTTTTTTTTTAATATTTTAAGATAGTTTCCTAAATGAAAAAAATAATTATATTTGCAGCAGTGATGATTTTGTTAAACACTTTTTGTTGTGGCATATAATAACGAAGAATATTTTTTTAGTGTGACATGACTACTTTTTTAGATTATTATTATTAAGTATTATATATAGACACCATTCAGTAAGGTTATACTCACGTATTCCATTATCTTAAATTCATGACTCATGTATTTGTTTACTTTTTTTTCAGCTGAGTTTATGCCAATCCTTGGTCAGAATTTGAATCCAGAATTGATATCTGTCTGCAACAATGCAACATGGGCTATTGGAGAAATATCTGTAAAATTAGGTAAGTGAAGTAGCATGGATGTCATGCTGGTCTTTAAAAGCAATTTACTTTGTGTGCGTGTTGTGTGTGTGTACATGTTTTTTTTATATGTACATATATATATATATATATATATATATATATATATATATATATATATATATATATATATATATATATATATATATATATATATAATATATGTATATATACATATAATATATGCATATGTATATATATATATATAATATATGTATATGTATATATATATATAATATATGTATATGTATATATATATAATATATGTATATGTATATGTATATATCCCCCCCCCCCAATCATTCTATTGTTTTTAGAATAATGATCACCGGTTAAATTTACTACTTTTATTGATATAATCTTTAAGTATTTACAAGGTTTCCTGTGATATGTGCTGTTAGATGATTATATTAAGCACATTGTACTTGTGCCCTTTGGAACACACATTTCTTATAGACTGAATCAAAAGTACAGGTATTCCTAAGTTTGTGGTAGAGTTCTGTACTGTAAAAGGAAGAAACTAAACAAGACCATTGTTCCCACAAGAAACAATAAAAAAGAGGTTGCATTTCTCAGAGATCATAACTAGCTGAATCTGGTAAAATTGGTTAATAACATAAGATGTATAGATTATAAGACAGATCCACAGAATTCGCTTCAGTACTAGAGAAAAGCTTGGTGAGTGACAATTGAAAGAAGTATATTCCCAGAGATGTCAAGCTCCACAAAAAATGCTATGAAACTTGGCTAGTTTGTTGCACTTGAATTTCCTTCCCTGTTCAATTCAGCAGGTAATTTTGAGTCCTGCATCCATATGGCAGAAAAGCTTGGGAAGCTAAGCTAAGCTAAGCTATAAAAAAAAAAAACTACTACTACTACTACGCTCTGGCAATCAATGGCAGTTTGCAGACTTTGAGCGCAGGAGTTTGGTACACCAAGCCGAATCACCAGCTCACCATGCTTTGGCGTGCCGCCATGGCATACAGCCACACACCACATTTCAAGTGGTTTGTTTTCACGCCTATAGGCGTGACCCGTTGTGAGGGGGTTAATTTCCTCTTTCGTGAAGCACTTTCACTGTGTGTTATATTGTTGCAAGGCTCCTTCAACCTTTTTGATGGTTCTGACTTAAATCTGTATGACCAGCATTTTTTCCATTTCTTTAACCCAATGCTAACGGGTATCAGAAATCTCTGAGTTTCGTGAACTCTGGTTATTTCTGGCAACATTCAGACACTGGTGCAGGAATCTGCTACAAGTAGCGGAACTTCCTGCTCCATGTGCTCTGCCACGTCACTGCGCGTACAGCCATTCCCTTCAAATCAAGTGGTATGTTATGACGCTTGTACGCATGACCCATTGGTAACGGGTTAATCATATATAATCACAAAGTAAGAGGAGCAGTACGTCAAAGCATGGGTGGCCAACAGCCCCACAATAAATGTGTGTGGAAGGGAATAGAGTGGGTGAGGAAGGTACACTGTTCAAAATCCTGAGAACCACTCACCAATGCATCAAACCATAGGTCAAATCACTAGTACAGTTAAAAAAAAAGAGTCTGCCCCAAACAGGACACCATAAAATAAAGATTACCTGTATTGCCATTTCTTGAACATTGTGAATAAGTGAAGTCACCATAACAGGAGGAGATGAAAGTTATGAGGATTACTGACAGTTAATCAGTAGTGATCAGATTTCATTTCTTTCTGATAATGTAAATGTCCCATCAGAATTGTCAGAATGAGTGATTGCATCATTGAATTGTATTATGTTTAAGTTCATTGATTTACATTGCCATGAATTGCAGGACCTGAAATGAGAGTTTATGTGAACCTTGTCCTAACCGACCTCATCTTCATAATCAACAAGCCCAATACTCCCAAAACTCTTCTTGAAAACACAGGTATGTAAAGACCCATTTTGGCCGCACTCGGCTCTGCACAAGGTTCAGGACAATGTTTAGTTCCCAGTTTCCCAGTCACTAGTAATTTTTGTTCTTTTACTTAAAGAGTGAGGCACAGTGTGATTAGTAGCATTTGCATATTAAATTAACCCAAAGAAATTTTATATTAAAGTTCAGAATATGCCTCATTAAAATTTAAAAACAAAAAAATCATACTTATTGTTATGATTTCATTATTGGCTGGCCCATTTTCTTATAGGTGCTTAGACTAATACTCTATTGCGTGTACTATTACCATTATGGTAATATTTTTTCTATGTATGCTGCTTGTAAAGTATTGGCAGAGTAATAAGCATTCATCACATAGTGGTTACCCATCAAGTTGCACTTAATGCCACTGCTTTTATTTGGGACTTATGTCAGTGAGATCCTAGGAATCCTAGGTTTGTGGAATTTGAGTGGTTAGTCCTGGGGATTCCTGATTCCTTGAAGACTGACAGGACAAGCTAGCACATGGATGTTCTGTTCAGTAAGTGCAGGATCTGATATGCTATTTCTTGCTTGACATGGCAGCACACTTACTTGTAACTGTTGGGTTGTAACCAGAGTCTTTTCAATGTGCTAAGTAGTAAACATTTGTGCCTCATTTATGGTTTCCCCTGTTTACTTATTTTTCTGTTTTGGAGTAAAATTTGATAAATATTTTTAGCATGCAGAACCACTAAGACAAGTGAATTGATTTAGAGAGAAGAAAGTTTGTCTTATACTGATCTGATTCTAGTTTGCATTACATTCATCCATTAAGTCAGAGATGCTGTGCCTTGTCCTTGTCAACTGCAGTAAAGATAGACTTTCTTGGAAAGTGTGTAATGCCATTATCATGCTCCCTAGCTTGTCCTTTCGTCATCAATGACCAAGAAGGAAATTTGAATTATTGTTATAGTCTGTACGTGTTTATTATTTTTGATAAATACCTTAATTTTTTTTTCATAATTGTACATAATTTAGTGGACTTAGTATTCCAAAGTGTACTAGATTTCCATCCTTAGCATCTTGGATTCAAGTTTCCTGTCCCCTAAATATTACTTAGGTACATGAATTGGAAGTTGGAATTGATGAAAGAGAGAAAAAAAAAAGAGAATTGTATGCATTACAAGTGAAATGTTTTGCCTGTATAGATATTTACTATAGTAAGGAATCATTTCTTGATTTCAATTTTGTTAAATTTTTAAGATTATTTTTTATTTATTTATTTATTTATCATTATTTTTTTTTTTTACCCCTGTTTTCATTATGATTTGAGTTTCTGTGTACAGTATATTTAATTTTGGGTGGGAGTAGCTTGTCCCAAAGGCCCTGTGCCCTTCTTGGTTTTAGACTGGGTTAACAGAACGGAACACAGGACCTGGTAGTTAGCCTGCTCTGTGTAGCACTTGAGTAAACCTATTTGAATTATTTTAGGATGAAATTATTATTATTGTTGTTGTTATTATTATTATTATTATTGTTATTATTATTATTATTATTGTTACTATTATTTTGATATGTTGCCAGCAGCCTCTCCATTGAATAAAATAATTTACACTAAAGTTCAACCATTAAAAAACACAAAAAACAGTTGCCTATATATATGCAAGCATACACACACATGTACATACTTATTTACATACATGCACTTTTAAACTTTGTTAATGTTTTTATAAGTAACCAGTAATTTTGTATCATTATTACCTTGTCACTGAGTTTATACTTATTTGATTATTATTGTTGCTATTATTATTATTATTATTATTATAATTAGTATTGTTATTATTGTTATTATTATAATTATTACTTGTTATTGTTACCAATCTCCCCCCATAGGTTTGTTATCATTATGTCATGGTTTTCTTTCTCCTTTTCTTTTTTCCTGCGTGTTGCTGTGCTCTTTAGCCATTACAATTGGACGCCTAGGCTATGTGTGCCCCAATGAAGTGGCTCCCCTGTTGCAACAGTTTATCAGGCAGTGGTGTGTAAACCCTCAGTTTCAGTTGTATCTTTGACTTCCATTTAGCATTATCTCCACATTAATGTTTCTACTATATATTTTTTTTAATCAATGCCTCTTCACTGTTAGTAACACTTTAAGCTCTTTATATATATTTTTGCTAAAGTTGTTGTCTATCTTAGATATTTATATCTTCACCATATTAAATGCATAGTGTCAAATATTTGACCATTTTGGTGCCAGAGTGTGGTATTAACAATGGGATTTTTTCTTTTCTTTTCTTTTCTTTCTTTTTTTGATTTAAATATTTCTTTAAGTATTCCGGTCTCCACATTGCCTAAGTGGAGGCAAAGATTTTGAGACCAGTCTGGCCTCTTGATCTTAGGATAATGCTGGAGACTAGAATAGAAAAAAAGTCTTGTCATTCTCATAATTCAAGAAAAATTGTAATTCAAAGAGAAAAGGAAAAACTGTTCTTGCACCCGAGTGAGTCTAGCCCACAGTCAAAAGTCCTTTCTAGTAAGCTTTCAGTATTATTAAAGAAGAGAGTCTGTGGGATTTTAACATACCTACGCTACCTAGCCTGGGTCAGTGGTTCACCAAGCTTAATCATCTAGGTCTAGCCAGTCAAAGCTAGATGCACAAACATCAGACCTTTTGTTAAGAGTAATTTTTGTTGGTTTAAGCATGACATTTTTTTTTTCTCTTTTCATTCATTTGTTTATTTTATTTTACTTTAGATTTTAAAGATGTTTGGTTGTTTGAACCAGTCACCCCAGGTTAGGTACATTTTGCTGCTAGTAAGATAGCTTCTATGTTTTATAGTTCTTTAGCATAATTTTAGATGTAAATTATAAGTAAATGATAAAATTAACTTTAGTTTTAAGTACACTTGCCAATGAAAGATTTGCCCTTTATAGTATTGAAGTCAAACTTAAAAAAAAAAAAAAAAAAAAAAAAAAAAAAAAAGAATCTTAAATATCATAATTTCTTTCATTGGCAGTGATGAAAATAAAAAAGAAAAATGATTTTGTAGAATTTCATAGCTTTGTATATCTCTTTGTTTCTTGTCATTCATTTGATAGGTGGCACTGATTTTTTAAAAATTAATTTTATCCCTCCCTCTGTTATTATGCTTTATAAAAGTGTTTTGTAAATGTACAGTCTGCCATATCCATGTTTAAAGTTGAAATTCACATGCTTGTTAGTTTAATGTCCCCCGTGCTTAATTTTTTGTAGCACGAAAAAAGAATTGTTCATGTTACTTTTGAAATTTAATCTTTGTTCATTTATTTGAAATTGATTTAGTTGATTTTGATGGTTTTACTTTTCCCATTTGTTTGTCATTACTATTATTTTGTTATCATTATTGTTATTGTTACTACTATTATCATTATTATCCTTATTATTATTTTCAAGACTAGCTGTGTCTGTCAGTGTCCCTTATTTTACATTTCATTTGAGTTTTACTATAGGAATTATTTCTCCTTGACAAACCTCTTTAGATTGGTTTTGAGTCAGTTTGAAGGGAATTCAAGGGGTCTTTTATATCAAGAGGAGTCTGATTTGACACTTTTAGAGTCAAAATAAACTATATCTCTTGAGGTTTGGCTGGAGCCTGCATTGTGTGTATTTAGGTATGTGGCAGAGACCAGAGCCCTTTAACCAACCATCTTTTTTTCTCTTTCTCTCTCTCTCTCTGCTTTCTTCCCATCCCCCCCCTCCCCTCAATATCCACCTACTACTGCTGTGTGACTCCTGCTGGTCATCGTGGCAAATGTCATATGGTGCCTCTTTGCCGGAAAATTCCCCCACCCCCCTGCAGGTGCATCTCCCTACGCAACATTCGAGACAACGAGGAGAAGGACTCTGCCTTTAGGGGTGTATGCAACATGATCAGTGTGAATCCAGGAGGAGTGGTTGAGGATTTCATTTTCTTCTGCGATGCCATTGCCTCGTGGGTCAACCCCAAGCAAGATCTCAAGGAGATGTTCCATAAGGTGCGGTATTTCAAACATGCTTTTTTACTGACAATATGTTGAATGCTCTAATGTACATTGATTGTGGATTTTGTTTACATTTGACTTTCTACCATTCTCCTCCTCCTCCTCCTCCTCTCGCACTCCAGTTCCTCCTCCTCGTCCTATTCCTCATCCTTCAGCCTGCTGCCTTATCCTAATTCTCAGCCTCTTTTCCCCCCCTCCTTCATGTCCTTTCCTCCCTCTGTCTCATCTTTCTCCTTTAGTATCATCGACTTAATTTTTTGCTATCCTATTTTGCAGATCCTTCATTGCTTCAAGGAGCAAGTTGGTGAGGAGAATTGGAAACGTTTCACGGAACAGTTCCCACCTCCATTAAAGGAACGCCTGACCCAACAATATGGAGTGTGAGCAGGTAAGAATCTGCTGAAAAGTCCTTTGCTTGGGAAATTGGAAATGAGTGGCTTCAAGATTTTGATTTGAAGTCTATGAGAGATTTTCATAGATTTACATACTTTTGAGCACTGTGGTTAATTGCTAAATAGTTTTCTTAACTGCTTTTCCCTCCCAACAGGTGGTGCTGCGATCATGTCAAGACCAGAGCCCAGGATGAGGGAATTAGCGTCCTGGCCGAGCTCTGTGGCGTGTGCAGTTAGGAGGCCAGGGGATCCTTTCGACCCTGTGCCTGGGTGGGGGGAGGGATCCACTTCTTCTCTCAGCCACTCTCCTCAGCTTGCCTGCCATGCATTGCTGTCTAGCCCTTCGGAACGCTGAACGCTCACACTGCAACATCTGTGGAAGACGTTGAGCCACAACAGGGAAGGAGCAGGCACTAGCGAGAGGTGGCTGCCGCGCGCATCGTCGAGGGAGGGACTTCGCGGACTGGGTGGGGGAAAGCGGAGGGAGGGGGGTGGTCAGCCCCTGGTGGGAGGGACTCTAGGTGGGAGGCTTAGTCCCCAGCACAGAACATCAGCACTAGAACACTTGTGTCCTGCCCCCTTAACAGAGGGGTAGTGACTTTTGAGTGGGTGCATCATGTAGAGGCTGCCCCATTCAAGCTACATTCTCCTGTCACGTATTTCACATAACCTTGTATGTAGGTACAGTGATGATTTGTATTATGTAAGATATGTAAATACATGAAGTTTTTATTTTCTACATGATCACTTCTTGTAATAAGTCTTTCCTTGTGCCAATCATGGTATCCATGACCATATATATTTCTCACAAGTCATTGTTGTTTAGGTCATGTAGTATTTTGTCATTATTTCTCATCTATGCAAGGTGGGCTAGAATCCATCTGCAGGATGTTGTATTGCAGGAGTGATGTAGAAGGTCTGGGGTAGCGTGTGCCTCTTCAGCAGTAGATCTACCAGCCTGGCTCTTCCACTGTCTTCAGTGTATTGGATGACCCAAACACTTTTATAACTAATATGGTGCTACATATAACTTCACATACGTGTTGAGCAAATCACCTATGTCAAAGTAGAGAAACGATAAAGCAGGAGTATGAATTCTGTTAGCACTTGCAAATCCCCAAGAGCCTCATTTTTTCTCAAGTTTTAAAATGAGCTCTGTGGATATCAATGCTTACGTAAATACAATAGCTACAGACAGACTATTAGGCTAAGTGGTACTCAGGCTGGTTGTTGTACTGTGCTTTACTGGTTTAATCTGAAGCTTTAGGACCTGGCAGAATTTTTTCATATCACTGGTAAAGCCAGTTTGTTACTTACAGTATTTGGCACTGTTGTATGAGATTCTGTCTAATTTTTTACTATTATTATTCCTTTTTTTTCCCCCCCTTTTTAAGATCGTACTGCTTCAGGGTAAACCATAATTTGTTTTCCCAGTGCACACATAGGACTTAATGGAAACGACTGTGATCATAGTGATTTTTTGATTTTTTGTACTGTTATGCAAAGTAAGTTAAATATCACATTTTTTTCTCTCTTGAAAGTCTTTACACATGAATCATTGATAGATGGGTTACATGCTGTGCAATAGATGTTACTGATAAAATGATGTTTATGAGTGGGGCATGTTATAGGGGAAGAACTACATTGTTTAGTAATGATATCAAGTGGGACCCTTAGCTTCATTTGTTGTAAAAGGGGTATAGAGGTTCTTGAAGAGTAAACATGAGAAACAAAACAAAATTATTAGGATTAAGAGCCAAAGAGTGTTCGAAGTTTAAGTACATTCTTGAGACCATTTTCTTACATCAGACACCTTCCAGAGATAGACATATCATCTTTGTATACACTGTCAACTCTTTGGTTCTTGTTAGGGGGCTGAAAATGATAGAATATTTTAGACAATATGAAACTTGATATATGGGCTAATAGTGAGGGGCATTTATTATTTTTATTCTGATATAGGATTGATTTAGGGATCCATCGGGGGCAGATAGGAATTCATTGTTAGGGGCAATTTAACGTATCTGGGTTAAACATTTTTGAAATCTTAAATTTTGTAAGGGTGGCAGTGGCAGTCAGACTACTAGCTAATAGTCTTTTTTTAGGTGCATCCATGTGTACTTGGGATTGTAGCAACCTCAGATCATGGTGGTCTTACTGTCACTGGCAACCCTGGTAGCAGTTTGTTTGGTGTATCTGTAGACAAAATATTGTCAGTAGTGTTGTTATTTGCAGTGTTTCTTGCATGCCCTAAGTATGTCAGTATAATTACTACTTGCAAATGTAATGGTGACTTGTTAGTTGGCTACAGGGCAACAAGGTTGTGCAAGTGTTGGCCTTGCTAGCTCCACTTAGGGGTACATCATTTTACTCTTGGCCTTTGTAAATCTTGACATTGTACATGCATCAAAGTTATGTTTTTGAACAAAATTAGAGAACTACTTTTGGAAATATATTTTTACCACTGTACAGTGTGAATGTTTAGCTACACTGCAACAAGTAAAGGTTTTACCCTAGGTGTATGTAGCAGTTTTACCAGCTAAGAGATGTTATTCCATGCAACACATTTTCAATTGGAAAACAAATGTCAAAAGTTTGGGACAATTGTAAGCTTTCTCCCCATGATTTCCCTCTTTCTTCTTCATGGTATGAATAAGAATCTAAAGAAGATAATTGATTGAACATATTTATGAAAAGGGCTAAAAAAATATATAAAGATACAAAGAAAAATTCTTGGTTTACAATCCAAAAACAATCGTTTAAAGAAATTTTAGCTAATGATCCCAGGCTTTCATACCCCTAATAGTGGAGTTGGTTGGTTCTGTATAGTGACAAGTACATAGTTTTGGCCTGCCTTTTTTCTTATATTTTTCATTTAAATGTAAACTGGCACTCCTCGTCTAGAGCCAAGAGGTTTTAACATCGGAGGCTTCACTAGTAATATTCTAATGGCAATAGACTAGACACGGAGCAGCAGTTTAATTATTTTTGACCCTCATGGCACTATCAGAAAGCTATGTAATTATTTGATGTATAAAATTGTATTGGTGTAGCCCCAGTCTTGCCCATTTCTAGCTGCCCAAAATTGTGAAAACAACCTTCTAATATCTTGAATTTCCTTGTTAAAGGGAAATGTAAAAAATATATATTATTTTTCTTCCTTGCCGACTGCTCAAACATGCAGTCAAATCATGGCTTTCGAGTATTATTTTGGTATGATCTTAACTTAGATTGGTAATATGGATGAAGTTTGTCGCCCTTTTTGGAGCTCTTGTCTGTTTTGTCCTAGACTGTGCCTTAAAGTTGGAATATTCCCCTGACAGTCAAGTGGTTTATTTGTTCGCTCTCTGTGTGAACACATTGCATGCCAGTGTTGATAGTTGCGCCATTAACTGAAAACGACATAGGCTGGTTTATGAGGGAATAAGCTAATCAAACTCGTGTATTGTACCCTCATCAATATCGAATCTGAATTACTAACATTATATTGTATGAGTTTTAGGGAGAAAATAATGTAACCCTCAAATGCACCAACAATTATTGTAACATACACACCTGTGCACCTTACTGCTTATTTGGGGTCAAGACTTGAGAGAATAATTATCATGTTAGCTTTGAAAAGAATTGTTATACACAATTGCATTGTTTGAATTGTGTGAAAGAGAGAGAGAGAGGGAGAGAGAGAGAGTAAATTTAGTGTCAACAGACACAAAAGAAGTTTCCAATAATGTCACCTTGCAAAGTGATTCTCATTTTTGTGATAGGCCCAGTCAAATGACAGTATGAGGTAGGCAAATTATTTGATAGGCTACAGTATTTGACAGTCATTTGGCAGTTAGGAAATCTCCCCCTTGCATTGGAGCCTCTTAGCTTGCTGTTAGGAAAATTGTTAGGCTGATGCCCCTTTGCGTATGAGGAGGTTTATAATATTGTGGCTAGGTCTGGGATAGGTTGTAGGGAGGGATGGATTGGTCAGAGACACGTGGATAGGCAAAAGTTAGGAGCTGGGTGGGTGCTTGCAGTCCAACTTGGTTAGCAATTGCAACACTTTCCAACATGTGGAGGTATTGATAATGACCATGTAAAAGATTGATGAAAAGAGAAAATGAGATTGGAATTGCTTATCAAGTTTGGGCATATTTTAATATTTAATTTATTTACCACTCTTATAGAATGGAGTGAGGGTGTATGGATGACAGCTGTATTTTTTGGATGATTGATTATTATATGACAAATTCGTTGTGTACGAATTTATTTTAATGCGGGTCCTCTTCTTAGTTTCTGATCATGCTCAGTGATAATACTAGAGATTTATAGTTATGGTTTTAACTAGTCATTAATGTGTTAGGGTTACAATTTTAGGTCCTTTTTCTTTTTTATCTTTCCGAGATGTTAGGTGTTAGGTTAATTTTATTCTATATTTTTGCTCATTTGCCCATGTTTTAGTACAAATATTACTGTTATTGATATCAATTTTTAAATGATATTTTGTTAACTATTAATTTTGATAAAAAACGAATGAGTCTCTCCGGCGCTTGACCCCAAAAGAGTGCATGTAAGCGTGAGTGTTAACTGTACATGGAGGAACACCTCTCTTTCCTAGGCCTTTCATTGTCATTTGTTGTTGTTCTTCCTTCCTTTTTCCATGGTTTATAAGTACTGAACAATATTATTATTTCTTGAATGTATAGTGTCAGTGTGATTTGTATTCCCATGTTCGTGTTCAGCATTCTCTTTATTTACTTCATTCTTTCCATGCTGATATTATGACTATGTTAGTAGCACTATTCATATTCTGTCTCTTTCTAGGTTATTGTAATTATTAAAGTTCTATTGTCATTTTTTATTATGATTATTACTACTATTATAGTTACAAATTACTATTACTATTACTTTGTCATCACCTCATCATTTTTCACTAGCATTGTAATGTTGTCATAGGTATCTGCATCATCATAATACTGCATGTGGGTCACTTACTAGACTGCCCTTTGACAAGTTTTGTACAAATTGTTGTTTTTTTGCTGTGATAGGTGTAAATCCTGATTTGTAAAACTATTGTGATATACTGTATGGTCTGCACAAATTTAGGCTCGAATAGTAGGTTCTCTGGTAGGTCCTTATTGGTTAATTTTGGCTGTAATTAGCAGTTACTTCGCGTGGCTTTCATGTATCTTGGGGAAGGATACCTTGTTGCCATATATTTTGATTCAGTGTAACTTGTATTATATATTGTACATAGAGAATTGATTCCCCTCCCCCCCCCCCCACTTGACGCATTTCTGTCACCCCTTTTTTGCATGTAAAATGCTTTAGTCCTCCATTTTATCATTTTTACACATTTATTCCGCCTGTCACTCTGTACGTTTGGGGCTAAGGGAGTTGTACTCTTAAATTCATTTGAATGCCACACGGTTCTTAATATTTATTATATATCCTCATGAAACACATTAACTTGGGTTTCTCAAGTGTGGTAGTGTGTTGTTTGCTACATATATATGTAAGATGCTTCTCCCACTGGCCTTGTGAAAGTGTTTTTGAATTAGTATCTCATGCTTTTTACAGTCATGAATTTTAGTTGAAGGGTAAAAGTATTTGAAATGTCCTGACCAGACTGTAAGGAAATATTGTTACTTATTTTATACTAAATATTGTAGAATGTAATAGATAGAGTAGCTTTGATTGTACTTTCGAGAATTCCATTAAACCTATGGGCAGTGTGAAGTTTAATATGTTGTTGGTTAATGGTGACCCCATGCATTTGAATACCCATATCAAAATATCCATGCATGATTTTTATATATATATCTATATATACACATTAATACATTCTTTTCATAAGGCATTTTAGATATTTTCCAAAAAAAAAAAAAAATGCCTACATACAGGTGCAAGTTGTGCTTGAGGTGTAGAGGTGTGAAATCAGTCTCGGCTCGATGGTTCTCCCTAGGGTTTGCTGCCAATTGTTCGCTTCGTGGGAGCGCATTCCACGGGTAACACCACCAGCGAGGACCTAGGTAGTTCTCAGACAAAGATGCTTTTCCGAGGTCATAGATGTTTGTTTGATTATTTGGTTTAGATTCGCTTTTGATTTCATTTACGCTGCATTTAGAAGTCAAGGATAACGAGTGGCAGCTCAACAAGATTTTTTTTTTATTTTTTAAGTAAACAGAACAACGGCAGTCAAATCCAGGGAAAACCAGTATGTCATAAAAAAAACAAAGGTGCAAAACCAGCCATGTCTTCTTTCCTATCGCTGTGGTAAAGGATGAGGAAGTGGTGGCACAGTAACTTGTAAAGCATTACCAGTGGCCAATCTTTATATTACTAATAATTTTATGCTCAGGGAGGTGTTGCTGTTCTTAGGTTCACATGGGTCTCAGGGGTTTCCTAACTAATCTTAGTGTTTCTCAAGCATCCTTTGTCTCCAGGAAATTTCCTTTTTAAATGTTTAAAAATAATTCTTTATAAATTTCAAATCAGATGAAAAAATGTGTTTATCATAATCAAGAAGTGGGTTGACATGTAGAGAGCGGTCATTTGCTCATGGTTACTGTAACTACCCCTGCCTCATCCTAGTAAACACTGTGTTGTTACAAGTAGTGGTGCATCAGTATAAATGGAATGGTGATGAGCTTGTTTTATTTTTTCCTTCTAACATAAGAAGAAATGAGATTGTGGTACTACTATTCAGTTATATCTACTGTTAATACACAACAGTTTGATTATACAAAAGAAGGTTCATAACGGAATATCCGAAGGGAGTTGAAGAAAATACCTATAATATTTACTGATTGTTTAATAATAAACTTTAAAAGATAAAAGTAATGGTCACATTTATTGATTTTTTTTTTACATTTCATCTCAATAGTGCAAATAAAACCATGAAGAAAATTTTAAATTTTAAGTACTTTGAAATACATTTTAAACCGCTTGTCTGGTTGCCGGTGAACACACTTCCATAAATCCAGTCGAAAGTTGTCATGTTATACAGCTTCCAAGAGCCAAACTTCGTTCCTGCGATTCCAGAACTTGAATGGTGCGTCGTATGCATTCCTGAAAAAAAAAAAAATTAAGACCGGACCAACGATAATAATTTGTCAAATGCAGTTCTCTCCCAATTCTTACCCGTTGTTACGGGGAGGGGGGGGGAGGGTAGGAGACGGAGACAGGCCCCAAGTGGGGGGGATCTCCCTTACCATGGCCCTCAGCTCTAAAGGCCCCCCCAATCCCTTGCCCGTTGTTGTCGTGGGGGGGCTTAGGAGACGGAGACTGGGACCCAATCATGGGGAACTCCCCAACCTTGGGACTCAGCCCTCGACTCAACTAATTATGCATGGTCTTTTTTTTTTTCTTTCCCTTCCTACTTTTCGTTTCTGTCCCTTCACCAAACCCTTCTGCTATCCACCTCCTAAGGTGTGAGAGCCGTGCTGAAAGGATGAAAGGCTGACTTTGTGCCAGTCCTGAACGGCCTGAGGGAGCCATGGGCACGGTATTCCCCTGATTTAGTTATCTAGCCCTTACCCCTCAAGGGGACCCTGAGGGGTGGACTGCTTTTATCCCCAACATAATCCAGGCTTACCATGGCCAGTAATGAAAATATATCCCCACTGTTAGGGGCAATGAGGCTTGCCCCTTTATCAAATAGCCCCAACGAAGTAAACCCACCCTGATTCCCCGACCCCAGGCTCTCCTTTGACCACGGCTCCAAACACTGCAATAACTGCCCCTTCACCAATGCCTACTAGTACAGTAGCCAACAATCAACCCTCAAGGAACATTTCCACTCTCCCAGCATGCCCAACTTCAACACCTCTACCCCCACAACCTCCAACATCAACCACCCCATCCTCCCTTATTAATACCTTACAGCCTTATAGCCCACCTCTCCATAACACTACCTCCATCAACACTACTCCATCTTCGTCACGCCCTCGCCCTTCTACCACCCCTATCTCTAAAACAATCTTGAATACTCTCTTCAGTGCAGCCAAATGGGACCGATTTTTCGTGATCCCTCCCACAGCTCCCTACTCTGACAACACCCTTCTCTTCCAACAATGCCTCCAAAAACAAGTAGGTAGTCTCTTTCCGTAGCCGACCCGACCGCTCCCGTCTTGTAACAGTAACATCCGAAAACCAAGCCATTGCATTAAAACTAACTGACACCTATATGGTAACCCCATCCTAGCAGAACCCCATCCAACCCTCAATACTTGCACCTGGAACAGTCTCAATCTCACCAGCAAATTGCCCAATCTATGACAAAGATTGGTCAGATTGTGGAGAAGATCTACTTGCCTGTCTCACAGACTACGATGCAACATCAGTACAATGCTACTCAATCCCCCCCAGAGGTCATCGAAAGAAACCCACTAACATAGCCAAAATTACCTTCCGTAGACATGACCTTCCCTTTAACGTCTACATAGGAGGAGAATCCCTCCCTGTTCGTCCATACCAACCTCCTCCACGTCAGTGCCAAAATTGTTGGCGTCTAGGACACCCAGCCAAACACTGCCGTTCCACAGCCAGATGCCCATTATGTGCCCAACCTGGCCATACCCGATCTAACTGCTCTGCACAATCACGCACATGTGCCAACTGTGGCGGCCCCCATAATGTATTTTATAGGGGCTGTCCCACCTACAAATTTGAATCTGAGGTAGCAACTCAAATTCAAACTTGGACTCACACTGCGTGAAGCCAGACAGGAAGCACGTCGACGTGGATTCTCTCTTACTCCTTACTCCAGTAATACTGCTCATTCCTAACACTTCTCCTAAACCCACCCCTCCTACATCTAACCCCCCCACTTCTACCTCCTACCTTCCCCAGTCTAACTCTTTTGCCATCCTAAATCCAGAAACTCCAATCTCTAATACAGATACTCCAATCACCACTACAACCCCAACACCTTCCCCTCTCCCTCCTCGCACTCCCCGTAACAGACAGAACAAACGTTCCACCCCCTCTTCCCCTACCACACAATCACCTCCACCATCCTTTGCCCCGTACTCTTGAAACACCAGTCCTCTCTTCCCCCCCTCACAAGAAATCCTTTATCCCCCACAACTCCCCAACCAACTCCTCAGAAGAAACTATTGAAAATATTCAAGATTACTTAATGCAAACTGACACTCAACCTACAACCCCTGCTCCTTCCACACTCCAAGTAACTGCTGATATCCATCCTCCTCCTAACGATATCCCCCCTACACCCTATCCTCCTACCCCCTCCCAACACAGCCCATCCCCCCTGACCCCAACCCAGCCCACATTAACCCTCCCACCATCCCCTCTATCCCTTCCACTCCCTCCTGGATACACACGCTGAATCCCTTATGTCACAAGTATCCCCTTCCTCAGACCCTCCATCTCCTAATACCCCTCCTGATAGAACACCAACTCCCACATCTCTCCCATCTCAAACCTCTCAGTCCTTATCCCACCCTCTAGCTGATTCCCCCTCAAAGTCTCCAACACGTACTGCAATCTATATCACTAAATCAACGAAAGTATAACTATCCTTCATTGGAATATTCGCGGTTTCCGCTCCCACAGACCTGACCTTCGTCATATCCTTTCCTCTTATAACCCATCTATTGTATGCCTTCAAGAAACCTTTCTTACACATCCTCCAATACCAATCCCTAATTATCATTTTGTCTCTTCCCCACATTCCCTTTATGTCTCGTCCTATACTTATCAATCAGAAAACACCTTATGTCACACCACCCTTTCAAACCAATGTCCCTTGTACAGTTATTCGTATCTTCCTTCATCGTTGGATCACAGTGATTTCAGTCTACTTCTCCCCTTCCCACCCCATTGACTTTGTTGCTTTTGAAAATCTAATTTCCCAACTTCAACCACCTTTCCTCATAGTAGGCGACTTTAACTGCCGCCACACTCTTTGGGGTGATTCTATTACCAACTCCCGAGGCCGATCTCTAGAGCGCTTCCTCTCCACAGCTGACCTTACTATTCTAAATTCAGATCGCCCCACACACTTTGATACACGCACGCAATCTTTTTCATGCATTGACCTCTCTCTATGCTCCCCTTCTCTTCATATAGATTTCCACTGGTCAGTCTTAGACCACTTTCCCTATAGTGACCACTTTCCAGTTCTCCTTTCTCCTACTTCATACGTACCACTTCCTAACTCCCCACGCTGGTGCTTTGATAGAGCCGACTGGCATACTTTCACTTCACTCTCTGCTATTCATACCCCTCCATCCTCCCTCACCTCCATTTCAGAAATGATACAATGTTTCACAACTACAGTCTTAAGAGCTGCACATACAGCTATCCCTCGAACCTCAAGACCATATACCTCTAAATGTGTTCCATGGTGGAATTCTGATTGCACTAAAGCACTTCGCTTAAAACGTGCAGCCTGGAACAGTTACCGCTACAAGAGAGGTACTCCAAATCAACTATCAGCCCTTATCTCCTTTAAAAGAGCATCTGCCTGTCTTCGTCGTACAATCCGGAATAGTAAAACAAATAGCTGGCGAAATTATGTTTCATCAATTACATCCTCTACATCTATCTCTAATGTATGGCGACGAATCCATAAGCTATCAGGCAAACATCCCCCCCATCCTGCCCCCGTCCTCCATATTCGAGATACCCTCATCTCTGATCCTCTCCAAGTCGCTAATGAACTGGGTGATTATTTCAGCCAGGTCAGTAGTGGCTCTCACCTTTCTCCACACTTCTCTTCTATCAAGACCACCAGAGAACGTACCCCCATTACCTTCACCCCATCCTCCGCTGAGTCCTATAATGCCCCATTTTCTTCCTCTGAACTCATTACTGCCCTACAATCGTGCCGCAACACTCATGAAGGCCCTGACGGTATTCACTACCGTATGCTCCGGCAACTCCCATCTTCCTCCTTATCCTTCCTATTAAAAATTTACAACCACATATGGACATCAGGAAATTTTCCTTCTAATTGGCGAGAAGCTCTTATCCTTCCCTTCCTGAAACCCAATAAATCGGGTACCCTCCCTCAAGACTATCGCCCCATCGCACTAACTAGCTGCTTGTGCAAACTATTAGAGCGAATGGTGAACTTCCGCTTAATGTGGTATCTTGAATCTCACAATCTTCTCTCTCCTTCCCAATTCGGTTTTCGCCGTGCCAGAAGCACAGCTGACCCCCTTGCTCATTTTGAGACATATATTACATCCGCATTTGCACGCCATGAATCCGTACTAGCTATATTTTTTGATCTAGAAAAAGCATATGATACGACATGGCGGTACCATATTCTCCAACAATTGTCCTCTCTAGGCATACGTGGAAACATGGGTGTCTTCATAAAGTCTTTCCTCTCCCAACGCACTTTTCAGGTCAAAATTGCTTCTGCCACATCATCTTTCTTTCCTCAAATCGAAGGTGTCCCACAAGGCAGTGTGCTCAGTACCACTTTATTCCTTCTAGCTGTTAATGATATTGTCTCAGTTTTACCACCAGGAGCCCGGTCATCACTATATGTTGATGATTTAACCATCTATGCATCTGGCACATCCATACCAAATCTCTACCAATTTCTTCAATCTGCAATCTCATCAGTATCTTCCTGGGCCACAAACCATGGCTTCCGCTTTTCTATCT